CCTTTAAAAACATATTAAATATACGCCAACAGTACCCTCACAACCACTTTAAAAGAATCTAACAAAATCCAATTATTTGTAAAATAATTATTGAGATTGTGAATTACCTAGCAGTACTGAAGACAATGTTCCTTTAGGGATGGTCGTAGCAGCAAACGTGGCAGTCTGCTGCTGCAGAGCGGAGGATAAAAGCAACAAAGGTCCAACACTCTCCTGTCTCGTGTATCGTGCCCGGGTGTATGGTAGCCTGGAACACAGCGAGAGTACTGAAGAAGATGGAAGTAACACTAGAACACTTACTGATGAAGCATGCATATAATATATATATATATAAATATATATATATATATATATATATATATATATATATATATATATAGATATATATATATATAATATATATAATATATATATACATCGTGAATTTATCTAACCTAAATTGAAGCTACAATGACCCTACAGAATTTTTTTTTTCACTAGATCGACAAGCAAGAATACAGACAATAGCGCTAACGTATCCCATCTCAAAAAAATCTTTGAAAGGGTTTTTAAAATAAGATCGCTATCCCATCTAGAACCCAACAGTTACACAACCCAGGTAACCTAGGTTTTACTGAGCCACTCCTGTCTGTCCTAAACTACTGGATCACTATGACAAGGTCTTGGATGCCCTAGAGGACAAACAAAAATGCAAAAATGCAAAATGCAAAATGTGCACAAAATTCTGATAAAGGAATAACGAGTAAAATAGAACAAATAGAACACAAAGAGTAATAGTAAACTGAGTAAAGTCTTAGCGGCCACAGGGAAAAGCTCTGTTCGCAAGGCACAGTACTCGCTGCGCTCCCATCCTGTTCCTCATCCTCATTTCTGACATAGAAAGAAATAACACAGCACTGTGTCCTTCCTTTGCAGATGACGCCCAAGGTTTGCAAGACAGCTGTCCTCCGTTCGAAGACACTGCATGACTTCCAGCGATATCAAACCAAATCTTTAAAATAGGCCGCAGAAAACAATATGAAGCTCAAAAAGAGAGATTCAATGATCCAATAGGAAAACTGGAAATTAAAAAAGTATCGTGGGTATAAATAAATCCACCACACAATAAAGCGAAAAATTAATGTGAGATCTATAGTGATAAAGTTCAGAGGATCTCACTCACAAAGATCATAACATGTAATCTCCCGATTTTGCTAGAAAAATGCGCATAGATAATGAGAACCCTTCAAAACTAGGGACACTAAGAAGCCCGTGATCATAAATCTCAGTGAACAATTATGTCGAGGCAATAAGCATAATAATAATAATCGCTCTGGGAAACTTTTGAATAATTACGTGAATATAAACATTTTATTTCAAAATTAAGAAATTATAAATATGCTACATATCATATAAACAGAAATATAATATAAGTAATATAAAATATATATATAAGTAGACCGATTTTCCACAGGGGGGTCTCGTCCGGAAAAAGCCTTCCAAATCTGGGATGTCTCCTCCCTGTAGAGGAGCCTTCCACTGGGAGGTCTCCGCCTCCCGTATAGGGCCTTCCACTGGGGGGTCTCTCCGGTTTTAGGAAACCACAGCTTGAGGCACTGGAGGGGTCACCTTTTTCACACCTAGGTGTTACTTCCCTTCCGGTTTGGACCATGACCTCGCCCTCGAGACTACCTCACTCACCTTTGACCCCCCAACCAATACCCCCCACCCACACACCCCCTTCGCGACCCCCCGTCGCGCCGCCGCGCCCGCGCGCACGCCCCGCGGCCCTAGTTCGCGAGCCCTCGCCCGCGCCTTCTGGCTGCGCCTTCTGCATCGGTCGTCCGGATCGACCCCGCGCCTCGAATTTTTTTCCGATATTTTTTTTTTTCGAATTTTTGAATTCATTTTCTTGTGCTCTCCAGTCTCCTCGATCAAGTTTTTAAAGGTTCCCCCCTCACTTTCACCGCATAGACCCAAAATTTTCTCGTATTACAAGTTTTTGGATTCCCCCCTATGGGGTTTTTTCGAAATTTCTCCATCCTCCTCGGATCAGTTTTTTGGATTCCCCCCTATGGGTTGGAGTTTTTCTCCCATCCCTCGGACAAGGTTTTGGGTACCCCTCCTTTCACCCCCCATCCCCAAACAATTTCTCAATATCAAAGTCTCCACTCCCTCGATCCCCATCTCACTTTCACCCCCATCCCAAAATTTCTTTCTCGATATTACCAAGTTTTTGGATTCCCCCCTATGGGGGTTTCTCCATCTCCTCGGATCCCCCTCCCACTTTCACCCCCATCCCCAAAAATTTCTCGACAATACAATTTTTTGGATTCCCCCCTATGGGGTTTTCGAAAGTCTCCATCTCCTTGGATCAAATTTTTGGATTACCCCTCTCACTTTCACTCCCACCCCAAAATTTCTCGATAATATCAAGACTCCATCTCCTTGGATCAAGGTTTTTTGGATTCCCCCCTCTGGGGGTAAGCATTCAAATGAACTCCTCCTATGGAGCATGCTTACTACAGGTCTAATGAAGGGTGTTTACTCGGCGGTCAGTGACGTCACGCGATGACCCCCACACACACAGGCTGAATCATGACGACCCTTTTAGTTCATTCAAGTTAATAAGGGGATATAGTACCTACATCATAGGGAAAAACATTTTCACTCTAACCCAGGTTAATTCCAAATAATTTTCACATTTTTGTTTCGTTAATACCACAACAATCCAACAATTTTCTTTACAAACAAGTCTAGACATTTTTCTCGTTTTAACTATTTATCTCAGTTCCTCCCCCACGAAGTAACCTCCTCCCCACCCTCCGAACCCTCACCCTCCAACCACACCTCACAATTTCACTCATATCCCCCATTTTTTCTCGTTTTAAAAACCCTTTTAGTCATTAAAGTTAAATAAGGGATACAGTACATCAAAAGTCACCACAACACTTATAACCATATTTTTCGATAAATTCACTAGTCCCAATTTTACATATTACGAAGTTAATACGCACACACACCTCACTTGAACACCTTCAAAACACTCTCTTAAATCATTTGAATACTCACAAAAATACCTTTATACATTTCCAAACAACACTGAAATACTCCAAAACATCATTCGAACACCCCCAAAATCACCTCTGAATACTCCCAGAACACCTTCATAAGTACTCTTGCACATCATTTGAACACCTTCATAAAGTACTCTCTCATAAATCATTTGTACACCTTCGAAAAACACCTTTGAATACTCACATAAACACCCTTGACCACCTTCAAAAAAACAACATTTGAACACACTCAAAACACCTTTGAACACCTTTGAACATTTCCAAACAACACTGAAACTCTTCCAAATACACCATTTGAGTACTCCAAATACAACCACTGAATACTAAACACCACTGAAATACACTCAAAACACACCAAATCACCATGAAACTCTTCCAAAAAACACAATTTGGAGTACTCCCAATTAACACCACTGAATACTACTAAAACAACCGCTGATTCAATCAAAACCACCCTTCAACACCTTCAAATCACTTTGAACACCTTTGAACAATTCCAAAAACACTATTTGATTACTCCAATTACACCACTGATTACTACTAAAAGCACACGGGGGGGGGGGGGGGGCTAATTCAAAATCAAAACACCCTTCAACACTCAAAACACCCACTTGAACACCTTCAAACACTCTGAACACCCTTCAAAAACACCTTTGAACATTTCCAAAACAACTATTGAAGTACTCCCAATTAACCCACTGCATACTACTAAAACAACCGCTGAAATTCATCAAAACACCCTTCAACACCTTCCAAAACACCTTTGAACCACCTTTGAATCATTTCCAAAAACACTATTTGAGTACTCACAATTACACCACTGATTACTACTAAACAACCGCTGAAATCAAACAAAACACCTTCAACACCTTCAAAACACCCTTGAACACCTTCAAACACTCTTGAATTCCTTCAAAAACACCTTTGATCATTTCCAACACCACTGAAACACTTCCAAAAACACAATTTAGTACTCCCCAATTACACCACTGAATACTACTAAAACCGCTGAATTCAATCAAAAACACCCTTCAACACCTCACAACACCTTTGACCAACCTTTGAACATTTCCAAAAACCACTAATTTGAGTACTCTCCCAATTACACCACTGATAACTACTAAAACACCGCTGAATTCAATCAAAAACACCTTCACCACCTTCAAACACCTTGAAACCTTCCAAAACACTCTTGAATACCTTCAAAAACACCTTTGATCATTTCCAATCAACACTATTTGAGTACTCCCAATTACACCACTGAATACTACAAAACACCGCTGAATTCAGCAATCAAACACCCTTCAAGCACCTTCGAAAACACTTTGAACAAACCTTCAAAACACATTTAGAACAGCCGCGACACACACCGCCTTCAAAACACTCTATAAATCATTTGAACACACATCTAAACACCTTTGAATAACCTCAACACACTTTGAACACTCTTCAAAACACCTTTGAACATTTCCCAATCAACACAATTGAGTACTCCCAATTACACACTGAATACTACTAAAACACCGCTGAATTCAATCAAAACACCCTTCAACACCTTCAAAACACCTTTGAACACCTTTGAACACCCTTCAAAAAAACAACATTATGAACACACCAAAACACTTTGAACACTTCCAAAAAAAACACAATTTGAGTACACCATTAGCACCGACTGAATACTACTAAAACACCGTTGAAATTCAATTTATCCATTTCCCGAGCTTGGGTCCCAAAATTTTACACCAGAGGTGGCCCCACCTATAATAAATATATAATTGTGTGTGTGTGTGTTGTGTGTGTGTTTGTTTGTGGTGTGTGTGTGTGTGTGTGTGTGGTTTTGTGTGTAATTGCTGACAAGCTTTAAGAATGCAAAACAACCACAGAGGAAACTTGAATGGAAAAAGAAACATTTTCCTAGCACAAATAATATTGGCCACCACATACCGGTCTAAGTCAGAGTAGCTTGGTATCTGTCCCTGCCGACGACCTCGTCCAGTTCCTGCTAAACCCTTTCTGCTGGACGGCTGAGTGCTGGCTACTAGGTACACTCCCATGGTCAGGGTGCTGGAGGTAGTGCCCATTCCGGCCGTAAACAACTCAAATATCACCGCTTTCATCTCGTAGGCTGAAAAGAAATATTTATATATATATATATATATAATATATATATAAATAAAATATATAAAATATATATTTTATATATATGTATATATATATAATATATAATATATATATATATATAAATATATATATATATATATATATATATATATATATATATATATATATAGTTTATATTGTGTGTGTGTGTGGTGTACTCACCTAGTTGTACTCCCTAGTTGAGGTTGCGGGGTCGATCCGAGCTCCTGGCCCCGCCTCTTCACTGATCGCTACTAGGTCACTCGCCCTGAACCTGAGCTTTATCATACCTCTGCTTAAAGCTATGTATGGATCCTGTCTCCACTACATCGCTTCCAAACTATCCCACTTACGACTACTCTGTGGCTGAAGAAATACTTCCAAAAAACCCTGTGATTCATCGTGTCTTCAACTTCCAACTGTGTCCCCTTGTTACTGTGTCCAATCTCTGGAACATCCTGTCTTTGTCCACCTTGTCAATTCCTTCAGTATTTTGTATGTCGTTATCATGTCCCCCTATCTCTCCTGTCCTCCAGAGTCGTCAGGTTGATTTCCCTTAACCTCTCCTCGTAGGACATACCTCTTTAGCTCTGGGACAGTCTTGTTGCAAACCTTTGCACTTTCTCTAGTTTCTTTACGTGCTTGGCTAGGTGTGGGTTCCAAACTGGTGCTGCATACTCCAATATGGGCCTAACATACACGGTGTACAGGGTCCTGAATGATTCCTTATTAAGATGTCGGAATGCTGTTCTGAGGTTTGCTAGGCGCCCATATGCTGCAGCAGTTATTTGGTTGATGTGCGCTTCAGGAGATGTGCCTGGTGTGTGTGTGTGTGTGTGTGTGTGTGTGTGCCGTGCCGAATATGTAAAACTTGCGATCTTGACTTAAATAGCAACGTTCATCTTGCCATATAAGGCAAGAGACAATTTGTGTATGCAATAATTTCGCAAAAATTGTTCTGAACCTAAACCAAAAAATATATTTCGCTGTGTTTGTTTATTATTAAATTACTGTAAACTTATCTAAAATATATTTAGTTGGATTAGGTTAAATTAAATTGCGCTTATAATAAGGTTAGGTAAGTTTTCTAAGGTTCTTTTGGTACAAAATTATAAAATTTTACATTAACATTAATGAAGAAAAATATATCTTTAAAAGTTTAAGAGAAAATTTCCGAAAGGACTTAATTTTAATTAAGTTCTTGCTAACTGACCAGTCTTACCTAATGGCACAACACACACACACACACACACACACACACACACACACACACCATAGGTCCTCTGCCCCCACCCCCACACCACAGACCCCACCCCTACAGCAACCCCCTATAGGCCCCTGCCAGGGCACCTGCTCCCCCTAACCTACCTTTCTTCCCAGACCACAGTTGTAGAAAAGAAGTTGAAGGTTTTGTACGTGAACACGGATGGAATAACGAATAAATGTGAGGAGTGGCATGAATGAATCAAGGAGATGTCCCTAGACATCATAGCAGTCACAGAAAGAAAACCCACTGGGACAATAACAGATGCAGTCTTCCCACCCGGATATCAGATCCTGAGGAAGGATAGAAGGGGTTGCACTGCTAATTAAAAGCCGGTGGGGTTATCAAGAAATGAAAGGAATGGACGAGTTTGGAGAAAGGGGCTACATAGTTGGTACAGTTCAGTCAGGGGACACAAGGTAGTCATTGCAGTGATGTATAACCCACCACAGAACTGCAGGAGGCCAAGAGAGGAATATGATGAGTGCAACAGAGCAATGGTGGACACACTGGCTGAGGTGGCAAGAAGGGCTCACTCGAGTTGAGCAAAGTTACTGGTTATGGGCGACTTCAACCACAGGGAGATTAATTGGGAAAACCTGGAGTCACATGGGGGTCCCGAAACATGGAGAGCCAAGATGATGAATGTAGTACTGGCAAACCTCATGCACCAACATGTTAGGGACACTACCAGAGAGACAGAGGAGGGTTAACCAGCAAGACTGGACCTTGTGTTCACCCTGAGTAGCTCAGACATTGAGGACATCACTTATGAAAGGCTCCTTGGAGATAGTGACCACGTGGTTATGAGCTTTGAATACACCGTGGAGCTACAAGTGGAGAGGGTAACAGGAGCAGAAAGGGAAAAGCCAAACTATAATAGGGGGGACTACACAGGTATGATAACCTTCTTGCAGGAGCTTCAGTGGGACCGAGAGATGGTAGGAAAGTCGGTAAACGAAATGATGGACTACATAACAACAAAATGCAAGGAGGCAGAGGAAAGATTTGTTTCCAAGGGTAAGAGAAATAATGGGAAGAACAGAACGAGCCCTTGGTTTACCCGAAGGTGTAGCAAGGCAAAAACTAAGTGCTCTTGAGAATGGAAAAAGTACAGAAGGCAAAGGACTCAGAAAAATAAAGAGATTAGTCCACGAGCCAGAAACGAGTATGCACAGATAAGGAGGGAGGCCCAGCGGCAGTACGAAAACGACATAGCATCGAAAGTCAAGTCTGACCCGAAACTGCATTACAGCCACATCAGGAGGAAGACAACAGTCAAGGACCAGGTAATCAGACTGAGGAAAGAAGGTGGGGAGCTCACAAGAAATGACCAAGAAGTATGCGAGGAGCTCAACATGAGATTTCAGGAAGTATTTACAGTGGAGGCTGAAGAGACACTGGGAAGACAAAACAGTGGGGTACATCAACAAGGGATATACCAACAAGTGTTGGATGAATTACACACAACTGAGGAGGAGGTGAAGAAGCTCCTAGATGACGTTGATACCTCAAAGGCGGTGGGACCAGACAACATCTCTCCATAGGTCCTTAGAGAGGGAGCAGAGACACTGTGTGTGCCACTAACCAAAATCTTCAACACTTCCCTTGAAACTGGGCAACTACCTGAAGTATGGAAGATGGCAAATGTAGTCCCCATTTCTAAGAAAGGAGACAGAAATGCAGCACTAAACTATTGACCAGTGTCACTGACGTGTATAGTATGCAAAATCAGAGAGATGATTATCAGGAGAGTGGTGGAGCACCTGGAGTGGAACAAGATTATAAACGACAGCCTGCACGGATTCATGATAGGCAAATCCTGTATCACAAACCTACTAGAGTTTTATGACAAAGTAACTGAAGTAAGGAATGAGAGGGAGGGGTGGGTTGATTGCATTTTCTTGGACTGCAAGAAGGCCTTCGACACAGTTCCTCACAAAAGATTAGTACAGAAGCTAGAGGATCAGGCTCATATAACAGGAAGGGCACTGCAATGGATCAGAGAATACCAAAACAGAGAGGCAACAGCAATCATGGCCCCGTGTTTGAGTATCACAGTGGGCGCCTGTGACGAGTGGGGTCCACAGGGGTCAGTCCGGGGACCAGCTCATTCTTGGGTATATGTAAATGACATGACGGAAGGGATAGACTCAGAAGTGTCCTGTTTGCAAGATATGTGAAGTTAATTGGGATAAAATTAAATCAGATGCGGACCAGACGGGTCTACAAAGAAACCGGGACAGGCTGGATGCGTGCTCCAGCAACTGGCTCCTAGAATTTAATCCCGCCAAAAAGCAAAGTCATGAAGATCGGAAAAGGGCAAAGAAGACTGCAGACAGAGTATAGGCTAGGAGGCCCCAAAGACCGCAACCTCGCTCAAAAGAAAGATCTAGGAGTGGGGAATAATACCGATATGTCGCCAGAAGCACACATTAACCAGATAACTGCTGCAGCATTTGGTACCTCAGTAAAGGAATCGTTCAAGACTTTATACACTGGTGTTACATCAGCCCATACTGGAGTATGCAACCACCAGTTTGGAACCCACACCCTCTCAAACAACAAGAAATCACAGAAAGTGCAAAGGTTTGCAACAAGGCTGGTTCCAGGGCTTTAAAGGGGAATGTCCTAAAAAAGAAAGGTTAAGGGAAATCGTCTGACGACACTGGGGGAACAGGAAGGTCAGGGAACATGATAACGACATACAAAATATTGCGTGGAATAGACAATTGTGGACAGAGACATGATGTTCCAGAGAGAGGACACAGTAACAAGGGGTCACAATTGGAAGCTGAAGACTCAATGAGTCAAAGGGATTTAGGAAGTATTTCTTTAGCTACAGAGTTGTTTTGGAAGTGGAATAGTCTGCAAGCGATGTAGTGGGGGCAGGAACCATACATAGTTTTAAGACGAGGTATAAATAAAGCTCATAGAGCAGGGAGAGAAGAACCCAGTAGCGGTCGGTGAAGAGGCGGGGCCAGGAGCTGAGTCTCGACCCCTGCAACACAATTAGATGAGAACACACAAACACACACACACACACACACACACACACACATGGCGTTTGACACAGTTCCACACAAGAGATTGGTGCAAAAACTGGAGGACCAGCAGGGATAACAGGGAAGGCACTACAATGGATCAGGGAATACTTGTCAGGAAGACAGCAGCGAGTCATGGTACGTGGCGAGGTTTTCAGAGTGGGCACCTGTGACCAGCGGGGTACACGGGGGTCAGTCCTAGGACCAGTGCTGTTTCTGTATTGTGAACGACATGACGGAAGGAAATAGACTCTGAGGTGTCCCTGTTTGCAGATGACGTGAAGTTGATGGGAAGAATTCACTCGATCGAAGGCCAGGCAGAACTACAAAGGGATCTGGACAGGCTGCAGACCTGGTCCAGCAATTGGCTCCTGGAGTTCAAAACCCACCAAGTGCAAAGTCATGAAAAATTGGGAAGGAGAAAGAAGACCGGGAGACGGAGTACAGTTTTTTGGGGGCCCCGAGACTACAAACCTCACTCAAGGAAAAAGATCTTGGGGTGAGTATAACACCCGGCACATCTCCTGAAGCGCACATCAATCAAATAACTGCCTGCAGCATATGGGCGCCTGCAAACCTCAGAACAGCATTCGACATCTTAATAAGGAATCGTTCAGGACCCTGTACACCCTGTACTTGGCCCATATTGGAGTATGCGGCACCAGTTTGGAACCCACCCCCTAGCCAAGCACGTAAAGAAACTAGAAAGTGCAAAGGGTTTGCAACAAGACTAGTCCCCAGAGCTAAGAGGTATGTCCTATGAGAGAGGGTTAAGGTAAATCAACCTGACACACTGGAGGACAGGAAGATAGGGGGGAAAATGATAACAAACTTACAAAATACTGAGAGGAATTGACAAGGTGACAAAGACAGGATGTTCCAGAGACCTGGAAAACAGTAACAAGGGGACACAGTTGGAAGTTGAAGACACAGATGAATCAAAGGATGTTAGGAAGTATTTCTTCACCCACAGAGTAGTCAGGAAGGGGAATAGTTTGGGAAGCGATGTAGTGGAGTCAGGATCCATACATAGCTTTAAGTGAGGTTACGATAAAGCTCATGGTTCAGGGAGTGACCTAGAAACACCAGTGAAGGGGGCGGGGCAGGAGCTTGGACCGACCCCTGCAACTCAACGGGTGAGTCAATAGGTGGATAACACACAGTAGGGGCCCCGCTTTACGGCATTTCGCCTTGTGTTGTTGCACTAATACAGTGACTTCAAATTATGATCAAAACTTGCTATTCTAATACGGTGCGCCCCACCCGGTTTGTTTACATTCTCCGTGAGGACATCTCTATTATGTCTGGAAACTCCAAAATTTCAAGTGTTGTAAGGGGCGGTATGAGGGGCGCGGCGCGCAGGCGAATTTTTTTCGAAAAATTATGAAATTGAGTTATTCATATAGAAAAATAGGTTAACTCTTTGACAACACAATGGTACCAGAATCAATGTTCAACGACGTTTATACAAGAAATTATAGTAATTTATATCAGGTATGGTGACGGCGGTGTGGGTAGCGCGTCTGCTCTCAACCCATATATTTTTTGGAAATTTTTCCTTGTTTTTTCTCGCTATTTCTTGCATTATTCTTTCTAATATAATAATTGACTATTTGGCATCATAAAAAAGTAGGCGGAGCTTATACGTAGACTTCCAGTCAATCAGGAACCATCTGGGAACACCGTCAGTATTTCCGCTCCAGAAAGAGCCAGGAGAAACCACTTCATTGTTACGCTTATATCAACTCTACGGCTTATTTATCTATCAGAATTGATCTAATACAATATAATAAACATTATAAATAACAAACAAACACGTTATATACTCTAAACCAGTGGTTCCCAAACTGGGGGTAAATTACCCCCTGGGGGTAATTTAACCATTTTTGGGGGGTAATGGAGGGGTAACAGAAAAAAAGTTATGAATTCTGAAAATCAAGAAAACAATGCGGTACCCGGTATGAGGATTATTGTTAACTTTGTCTTAGTATATAAAGTTGTAAAGTAAACCTATTAGTAAGTAAGTAATAAAGTTAAACCAAATAACAATAAACATCAAAATCTAATATACAGTATTAGAAAAAGAAAAATATATAGCTAAGTGTTTGGGGAAAACCCAAAGTATTTTGACAAGTATGCTTCAGGA